TTACATCAGGTGTTTCGCCTTTTTGTCACCTGGAACCCAGGCGTCAGAGTGCTGGTTTGGGGCATGGACATTGGAGTGTTCCTGTCCAGTCCTGGCTCCCACCAGGCCTACTGATGGGCTTGCTTGAGGCAGTCTGCAATAATGTGTGTGTGGCCCTCAGCAAGCAGGCTGAGCTTCCCTTCTTTTATGTGGCTGGAAGAACCACTTGGTTCTTCCTCTGCATTCAGTCACCTTTATTTTGACTCCTTAACTATAGCAACCCAGCTGCTCAGTTTCTTTCTCTCTCTCTCTCTCTCTCTCTCTCTCTCTCTCTCTCTCTCTCTCTCTCACTCTCACTCTCACACTCAACACTGAGTCTCACTTGTTTTTTTTTACAGGCAGGGTGTTTAGGTTCAGCCTATATTACCATTCCCCAACCAGCCAACTAGGAGGGTTTGAAAAGGAAGCATCGATTTAGTCATCCTAACTTTCTTCTCAGATGATCACTTAAACACATTTCCTTCATGTCTAAGTTATCCTTAGTCTGTCTCCACTAAGCCCTTTCTCTCATAACCCTTCCCTTAGGCCCTTGCCTGTGGAATGTCCTAGTCTCTTCCTCCCTCCACATACACCCCTACCCCCCATCATCTTCCTTGTCCTTGTGCCTGTCTCATGTATAATTACATCACCAAAAAGAGGAAAAAAACAAAGGACATAACTTTTTTTTTTTTGGCCATTTTGTAATCGTATAAAAATAGTAGATGAACTGCTTAATGGTTGGGGTTTTTTTTCACAATTTTCAACATTAGTGACTTTTTTTTTCTGTTTGCTAGTTAAAGGGTTTGTCATTGTTTCTTTAAAAAACAATAATGCACCATATCCCTATGCATAAGTGCTTCTTCTATTTATAAGGTTGAAAATTCTGAATAACCCTTTTAGCATTGTAAAAAAAAAACCCACAAAAATGCAAAAAAAAAAAAAAGCCCCCACCTTGTATTTTGTAAATATTTTCTTTTCTTGCTTTGAGCTGTGTAATGGCAGCGGAATCCGTAGCTGTCTTTGTTCTATAGAAATGCTTTTCTTCAGAGAAGCTGATCTTTGTTAATGTCTTGATTCTGTTCACAGAGCACAGAACAGTGCTTCCCAAAAAAAAGCGGAAAAAAAAAGGGAAAAAAATTAAAAAAAAAAAGTTACAGGATGTTATTTGCTGGGTTCTTTTTCGTCAAACAGGATTTACTGGGTTCCCTGGCTGACTAGAGTAGCCAGCTCCAGGAGCCAGTTGTGGGCAGGTACAGGGAGAGCTGCATAGAATTTCAGAGTTCGTTTCTCTCTATCATGAGCTGGTGTCAGCAAATGCACCCAGACATGTTTCCCAGGAACAAGTTTTCTCCCTATGGGTGGATGTCCCAACAGTCTAAGCTTTTCTCAGAAGACAGCCCAGGAAACCAAATAGAAAGGATCCATTAGGTCACCCTTCCCAAGTTTCTGGCCCTGGTGGGAAAAAGGGCCTGAGGTCTGTATTTTTCCAAGAGGAGGCACTTCTTGCTGCTGCCTGTGTTGGGCTGGTCATCGGGGCACTGAGGTGAGAGGAACACTGCATGCTTATTCACATACCACCTAAGTAAGGGGCTGCAGTAGATAACAGACTGAGAAGGCCGTGGGTTCAAGTCCTTAGCAGTTGATTTGCTCCCTGCACTGGGCGGCTCTGAGCCAGTGAGTTAACTCCTTGGAGACTCTTCCTCACCAATAAAATGGCAGTTGTGATATCACATCCCTCCCAGGGTTCTTGTAAGGAGAGAGACTGTAAAGGACTTAATAAGCCATAATATGAACCAAATTTATGGAGAATTAGCTAGTGTTGTGTCATGGAAAGAACCCTCAGCTTCCCCTCAACTCTGGTCACCACTTCCTCTCTTTAATTGGGGGTATGGTCATTGTACCATCTGCCTTTTAGATTTGTGAGGAAAGCATTTTGTAAGCCATCAGGTGGGGGAGGGCAAGTGTCATTTAAATATATATATACATACATACACACACATTGTTTTGGCTGTTGTATGGGCTCTGACATCCATCCTAGTGATGGCCTAGCTCAGAGAATTGCCATAGGAATGATTCCATAAATATTAATGGTCCTGGAGGACATTTCTGGATGTAGCATGCCTCAATTTTGTCTCCTAAGAGATAAGAGCTAATGTTGAGACACTGGGCTGTAATAGCTGACAACTGTTTTCTGAGGCCTCTTTCCCGACTCCATGTCTCCTCAAATAGCAGCTGTGATTATCCAGTCTTATCCCAGTAATTGAGAATAGTATATAGTGGGCTGAACTTGGGAGTAAGAATCAACTTCTGGCCTTGCTGGACCTAGACTAGGTCTAAGTCACTCCCCAGGGCTTTGGTCCTCTTAATGCATTGTTCTTCCAGCCCTGGCATTATATGAATATCCTATAAACACCATATGAAGTTGTCCTGTAAGAACAGGAACCCAAGCCTTTGGTTTTTTAAGAGGAAGAAATTCTGATGATAGAACTCTAGGTAATAGTGAGCAGTTGTGGGGAGGAATTGAGGGATCTCAGGACTTTAGATTATGTGAAAATCACCCACACTTGGCAAAGCTGGCTCCCATTCAGGGTTGAGGATAGACACTGTAAGGCCAGTGACAAGACAGAGTACTCAATTTGTGTTCAGAAAAACTGCACTTATCCCAAGTCAGTCCATTTTTTCTTCCAAATGAATTATTTCTTCCAGAGTAGATCCAGACCAGGGAAACCTCTCAGAAGGCCAGAAAAAAATCTTACTCTTTTCTGAGCCAGACTCCCTTCCTTAACCTGCCCTAGGATGTCGGATTCTTCAGGGCCCTGACCCCCCAGTCAAAAGTAACTCCATGAAGGATACTGAAAGTCTTCCTCCTCTCCATCCCAGACCTGCGCTCCCCAGGTCTCCTTACACGTAAGGTTTGAATAGAGCCAGTTCATTTGATGAATAGCCCTCACTGCTGCTACATTGTTCATTGAGAAGAAAGCACCCAAATCAACATGGGTTGCCCCTTGACAGTTATCCTTGTGACTAAGAGGGGGTGGTGATGGAGGGAGGGCTACAGGTTTTGAGTGCAGGGACCCAGCATTCTCCAATGTCTACTCTTGCCCTGAACACTGGAGAGCTCCCACTTTCTGACTCCAGGCACTGCTATCTATGGCCTTGGCCAGGAGCAATCCTTTGCCTCCCAGATGGAAGTGCCAACAGAGCTGGTGTGATGCTCAGTGTTGGCCCCTTTGACACAAAGGGAGGTGAAATGCATGAAGGTACTCGAAGCGTTTTCCCATTTATTTTGTTGGGTGGACTTTACACTTTTAACCCTTTTGTGCCTGGAACAGACATCCAAAACCTCTGTCGGTGATATTTGAGTTCATTGAAGATGTCCTACATTGCGCCTGGATGTGTTTGATTTCGAGCACTTCCCCTCATATAGCCACATATGATCAAATGAGTTAACATTAAAGCACTTTGCAAACCTTAAAAGTGCCATATAAAATGCTCGTGAGTATGACTGTAACTGTCTATATCCTTTTTTTCCTGAACTCACTCTCAGATTAGCAAGAAAAGTGAGTTTTCTCTCTCCACTTTTCTTTTGCTTGTGCTTGAGTTCTGCTAGTAAGGTTCTTGCCTTAGTTCCAGCCCTTACTTTTTCTCAAGTCTGGAGGGGGGTGGGGCATTGTGGATCAAAAGCACATGCTGAGTTAACTGTCCTAGCTGACCCTTGGGGTGGATCTGGAAGAGAAGCAGTTTGTTTGCCCAAGTGGTATATACTTCTTAGCATTTGTCTACAGTAACTACTGCATGTTACAGAGGTGAGAATTGCCCCTTGGGGAACTAGAACCATGAAGGGGGAAAAAATCCAAGACTAAGCTACCCACTTAAACCCAACAGCAGGAAGAATGTGGGGTCCTGAACCCCAACCTGGAAGTAAACGATTTACTCTCACATGGGAGTGCTTTGCCTCCCCTCTCACAGCCACATTCTGCAGGAGAGTGGACGAGAGGGGCTTGCGGCTGCAGCCATGTAAAGTGCAGACTTCAATTATCCCTGTCTCCAGATGTGACAGTCCCATTTCTTTAAGGTCATCAGAGAAATCAATTTTAATATTTTTATATTTATGTTATGCACACACCCACATGCCTGTGTCTAAATGACCTTGTTCCAGTTACTTTGGAATATTGTGCAAACTTCTGCATGAGATTTTAAGTGTTAGAAGAAAATAATTTCTGAGTTGAGTACCTCGTCCTTTCTCCTAGCTTTGGGTGAGCTGTTAGTCTGGGCCCAGATGCTTTGGCTAGACAGTCTAGAACTTAGTCCAACTGCAGTGTTGTTTAAGTGACTTGCTAAAAATTAAATTGAGGCATCCGGTAGTCTTGGTCCACATGGCTTCCCCCTACACCTCCTCTCCACACCTCCCTGCTGCCTAAGGGGCCTCCTGGATATTTTACTTGAAGTCATATGGATAACACAGGGCCCATATACGGGCAGTGTTTTTGTGCCTGGCCCTGTGTCCGAGTTGCTCCTTTAAGGCTAAAGTCCAGAACTAGATTCCTTCTGGTGACAAGCCTGTGACGAATAATGACTGAACATCTGTGGTCTTTTATACCTTAAGTGCTAGTGACTGATCTCCCTGTTAAGTGCTAACAACTTTTGGTTCATATAGGCTTTGACCTTTTCCAGCTAACATTAAGGTGATATGCTGAATCTCCACCAAAAAGTCGAGAATGGATTTCAAAACATTTGCACTTGTGTATCTCATTTGGCAGGTGAAAGTTTAAGAGATGATGTTGACTCTCAGGAACTGCGTAGGTAAGTGATAGAATGGAATCTGAAACCATATCCCATGTTCTTTTCATTGTACCCTGCCAGTAAACCCTTAGGTGGAGGAGAGATTAGGCACAATAATTCTCAATGTCCTGCATGCCTTCCCTGTTACCCACTCCTTTTTCCTACCCTTCCCCCACACCCCCACAAAGAAAGTATTTTATTTTCATCATAGTAATAACTTTATTTCCAAATTCACTTTTACAGCAACAGTGTAAACCAGTTGTTAAAACACACAATACTATGGACATTCACAGACAGGAAGCTAAGCTAGGATGAGTTTGACACCCCCCACCCCCACCCTACCCCCCAAATTAATTAGGAAACCATGTGGATTACAATGCAGGAACTGTGCTTCCCCATGGGGTCAAGGCCCAGTGGCAGATTAAGCCATAGATAAAGGGCAGTGCCCATTTGTAACCCTTTTCAAACAGTCTGAGGAGAAAAGTAACTTGCCTGCTCCCAACTCCCCTAAGCAAGTGAGCAGTTCCAGCCACAGGGCAGGTGGAAAAAGAGATGAATCCGGCGACTTGAAAGAAAGGAGGCCTGTGACATGGGTTCTTTTCAGAAGCTCACTGGGATGAACAGCTTCCCCAAGCCCAAGGAAGGACATGGGGGCAGGGAAAAACTAGACAGAGGGAAGACTCCCTGGGCTGAAACAGCATCATTGGAAGAAGACCATTCTGAACTCTGGCCAGTCCTCAGATTTTCTCAAAGTTCTCTGACTAATTATGGTTATGAGCCCCAGCCATGGGACCTGGTAGGGAGAGGCACCAAGGGGCTTAGATGTGGCTGATGTTTCAAAGCCCATAATATTGGGCAGCTTCCAGCAAGACACTCTGTGTGTGTGTGAGAGAGAGAGAGAAAGACAGTCTCCCACCAAAAGGTGGTTTGAAGGGGTAAAAAGTTAAGGGTCAGTTCTGTCAGCTTTAAGGTTTCTGCCCTCTTGCCCATTTTAAATTTCCTACTACCTTACCACACAGACAGGAAATGCAGATTCCAACCACAAGAGGTGATCTAGGTGGAATTAAATACATGGGATTGAGGGAGGAAGGGAATTGAAGAAACTAGGGCTTCAGGTCTTCCTCTTTAACCCCACCCCAAGTTTTGCTAAGTGGTAGTGGCTGTGTCCATATAAGCCAGTGGCTGTGGCTGGTATTGGTGGTGTGGAGATGGCCTAATCACTGCCCCTATAAGAATTTTTCTCACTAAGTTACAACTCCAGTGACCTCCCCCAGCTGATGGGGGGCCGGGAGACGACAAAATGTTGAAGATTGAAGTCAAGCTTTTCCTGATCCATTCACAAACACCAATGACAGGCAAGGCCTTGGCTCCTGAGAGCTGACCGCTTTAATGCCTAAAGCTAAGGGCCCTGAGGAGCTCAGAGGCAAGACTACAGCTGCACCCAAATGAAGGGTACCTGTGTCATGTACGGCCTCACCAGGCAGTAAGACCCTGTTCCAGTTCACTGCCCTCCTGGAGCCTGAACAAGACCTCACCCGCATGGTTACTCTGCAAGCAAGATGGGGAGGGAAGAAGTCAAAGAAGACATGCTTTTGGATTTGGGCAACAATTCTTTAAGATACAGACTCAATCACATTTATTTTCCCTCTTCACGCTGGGCCCAGGCCCTTCTACTTCTGATTGGCCCACCCTGACTTCTGAGCTGCATCTGGCTGAAATAGCAACACCAAGATCTTGTTCCGTCTCCCTGCAGCCCAGGAAAGGACACAAGGGTTGGTTTAGGGGTGATGGGCTCTGCCTCCCCCTGATTCCACCCCACCCCATCCTGACTTAAAATTGAAGGAGTTCATCAACTTTGCAGGCATTTGCTGAATCACAAATAAACTTCCAGTACTTGGGCTTGGTTTAGCTACTAGGATTTTTTGCTTCCAACCATCTTCAGCTGAGGAGCAAAAGATGTGCCCTGTGGGCTTGGAGGGGATTGGGTTCCAAGGCAAGGGAGAGCTTCCCTAAGTCAGGGTCATGCCAGGAAAGTCTCAGCAGGGTCTAATGTTAGCATATGGCTGAGCAAGCAGCCTCTCCCTGGAATCTCACGGCAGTTTGGGGAGGGAAAGCTTCTTACACTGCAGTGTTGCTTTCTTGCTTCAGTGCATCCTTCCCACCTCACTGCTCTCTGATCCCCAAGCCTGGAGCAGTGACTGTCAAGATTTGAGACCGTGGTGGCTTTAGAGAACCCCCAAAATGAAATGGAAGTTACCAGAGCCTAATAGTGCATCAGCAGCAAACCCAGACAGAGGCCTTTTCCTGCTTGGTAGGATTCTTACAGAGGAGAGCACTGTGCCTTCAAAATAGGATTTTCCAGGAAAAAATCCATTTTCCCATCTCACCCCAGAGCAAGAGACAATATGACACAAAGGGGTAAACTGGCAGCTAATGATGAAGTAACTAAACTTCCCCATCTTGCCACCTCCCTGTTCCTCAATCCACTCACCCATCTGTTCCACTCATCCTTGTCACGGAATGGCGAGTTGTCAATAAACAAATACCTGCCCATAGCATTCTGGCATAAACCTTGCATCACCATCCTTCACCTGAACTCTGCCTTACCAGCTCCCGAAGTGACATAATCTAGCTTGGCCTATCAAGGAGAGTTCTGACCTGCAGACACAAGGCCTCTCCCCAACGTGTCCATTCTGGCAGCTTATGCCCTGAGAGAACCTCCAGCTGTCTTTGTTCTATAATCCTGTTATGTGTGCTTGGGCCCACCCTATTGAGGGCAGACTGCTGGCTCTTCAGTCCCATCGTCCCAGTCACCCTTCGCCAGGGAGGCCCCTGGGCTTCCCTAGAAGAAAATCCAGTATCATCTTCATGGTACGATGTGGCTAAGTGGGGTGGCTGTAGCACCAGGAGATCTCAATGGCCTTCATCGAGTACAAAGCCCCTTATGTGAGAGATGAAGCAACTGAAGCCAGGGAGGTTGTGCCTTGCCCAAGCACCTGAGGCGGGACTGGAACCCAGATCATTAGACTGTGAGTCCCACATTCCCACATTCTATGGTTTAGTTGATGGGAGCTATGTGGCTGGCCCCAAGAGTCCTGTTTCTCTAAAACATGCAGAACCTAGGTCTTTTTGAAATGGATAGATGTGAGAAGGGTGGGGTATAAGCCCTTCTTTGTTTCACCAGTGATGGGGGAGGGCCTCATTCCTTCTCTGCAACAGTTCTAGAATAACCTCATTTAAACAAGTACCACAACTGGAGAATCGGCCAAGTCCATCCCATGCTCATTTCCTTCGAGGATCCGCTTAGCTTTGCGTCGCAACTGCCGAGCTGGGGGCAACCAACCTGGGAATGAAGGAGGCCCCATCGCAAGCTGACATGATGGTGGTCCCAGCTTCCTCTTCCCACGATGGCAGCCACTTCACCCTCGACCCCAACCCTCGGGCAGAGAGAAAGAAGAGCCCCATGTTTCCCCCCTCTGCTCCTCTAAGAATTGGAGGCCATTAACTCCCCCTCTGCCTGGGGTCCGTGTCTGATCTCCAGAATAATCTTGATGCTGAAAACTTTTCCAGAGCTGAGCAGACAATAGGGTTGGGGTGGGTCGGTAGAGGGGTCACAGCTTGATGAGTCGCCCAGGCCCCATCTCTCTCAGAACTCTACCAAGTCAGTTCTCATTCTTGCAGCTCTTTCACCGTGCAGACAGTGCTTGGGGTGTGGGGGCAATTTGCCCCTGGGTGCACACAAGGGTTAGAAACCGCTCTGTAAGCACTTAATGATACATGCGAGGGTTTTTTTTTCTTTTTTTTTCCTTTTTTTTTTTCTTCTTTTTTACAATCATCACCCTGGTGAATTCCAAGCATATACAAGACAAATGCAACTATACACCACAAGTTGATTGGGAAATAAAGGAAGGAGAAGCCTCTGTTCACTTATTCCACAGCTCAAACACAGAAGCATCTTTCAATTACATATGGGGCTGAGGTGGTGGGGGGAGAGTGGCAGAGAGAGATAGGGCGTTCTCTGGAAAGGATGAGGGTGGGAGAAGGTAGAGGTACCTTCCCTAGGGAGAGAGTACAGCGGAAAGGAAAATGGGTTCGGCGGCTGTGTGGAAGTGGCAGGGCCCTCCCTGACAGGTCATGGATGATTGACCATGGTGGGAAGGGCTCGCCGCCTGTCCCCTGTGAAATGGTTTGGCTCCTGCAGCCGTCTCAACCAGCCGTATCTTTGAGAATGTCACTTCAATACTCACAGCAACTTTTTTTTTTCTGGAAGGAAAAGGAATTATGAAGCAGTAGGACCAAAGATCGATGGCTGCCCCCAAGTAGAAACTGACTTTTTAGGGGCTACGGGGAAGGTTGAGATTCACTTGGCAGAGAGAGAGATGCAAAACAGTGAGCTACAGATGCTCATTAGAGACAAGCAAAGGTTTGGAGAGAAAACCTGGAGCCCGAAGGTGGGCCTCTCCCCCAAAGAGAGCGCTCTCATTTCCAACCTGATCACCACCCACGGGAGGGGCTACCCTGCAAGGGCTAGGGGGATTGTGCTCCTGCTGCTCCCTCTCGTCTGTGTAGCCGAAGGGGCTTAGAGGGGGGCGTGCCAGAGGGCAGGACCCTCATGAACTTGCTAAGAGGCTGTTTAAGAGGGACAAGGGGGCATGGCTTACGATGTCAACGCTCTGAAGCTTAGGAACCACCACTGTGTAGAACTCCAAGAGCACATATACGGAAAGTACAAGAGTGGCCTTCAGTGGTACGGGAAGAAGGGAAAGAGGGGATTTGGCCTGCTGCAGCTCCACCTCTCCCCCAACCATGCCACAGGGATTGGCACATGACCTAAGCATCAACCTCTTTGCAGTCACCCCTGTGGTCTATGGATTCCTAGAGCCCATTAAACCTTTGACCCCCCCCCCCAAAAAAACCAGGCCAGAGAGGCTGGAGAGCGCTAAAGGCCCCCAGGTATTAAGAACTGGGAAAGGTGGCAGAGGGAGAGGGTGAGGGTGAAGAAGGATTACCCCAGTCAAGCACAAGGCTTTGTCTCCCCTTGTGCTCCAGAGCTGGAGGCCGTGGTCCTCTAAGACTTGTGGCAAAGATAACAGGGAAGCTCTAAGAAGAGTGATTGCTATCGACAAACCAGCACAAGTCACTGATTCTAGCCTCAGAACCCCCAGACAGCATGGCCACAGTGCACCTTCTAGAAGGGGAACGGAAACGGCTTCTACTGGCATCACCACCTTTCCCTAAGGTCTACCAGTCCACTGGAAGGGGGGGGGAAGAAACAAACAAACAAAAAAACCCAGCTGCTTTCAGTACAGCAAAGTCAATACCTTCGAGGGATAAGAACAGACATGGTGTCCTTCCTGCCCTATCACTGAATGTAGGGCAGTCTTCCAGAAGAAACTCCTAGTCTGCTCCAGAAAGCCCAGACCAATTCCCAAGCAGTTTACAAGCTCAGGGTGACAAAGGACCCATTTCCCCACAGAGCTGTAAAACAGAACAGCAGCAGCAGCAAACAACAAAAAGCCCAGTGAACACCCCCACTAAGACTGGCTCCGGCGTCCCCCTCAACAGCGCCCTGGATATTTGGTTTTACAATGGTGCCTATCACAGATTGTCATTCCTGGTCTTCATTTGAGCTCTGATAATAACAGGAGGGCAGGCACAGGGTACCCCACCCACGTTCTCTCTTTCTCTCTCTGTCTCTGACATAAACGTGGCTTGGGGGTCTCTGTGAATCTCTGGGTAAGGCAGGTCTCAGACCCGCCGCTGTGGCTGCTGTGGCTGAGGGGAGAGCAGGAGGAGGAGATGGGCACCAGGCCAGTTCCTTGAAACTCATCAGCAGCAGCACTAATAGCATTCCATTTCTCACTTTGGGGGGGAAAAAAGGGAATAATTTAATCGAATTGGCCTAGAAAAATGTGGGTGTGGCTTCCTTTTGAAAATTTTTAAAAAAAATTTATTGTAACTGTTAGCCCCAATAATTCAATTTGTAAAGACAAAATTTGCTTTTATTCCCATCACTGATTTTAAAGTCCTGGAGCTAGAGCCACAGAGGCCAACAGCAGGTTAAATCATTGACCAATTAGGTAATCTGTGAGAAACAGCTGGGAAAGGAACAGAGTAAGAAGAAGGGCTGTACAATTATTCTTTCTTTTTTCCTTTCTCTCTCTCTCTCTCTCTCTCTTTCTCTCTGTCTTTCTTTCTCTCTCTCTTTCTCTCTCTCCTCTCTCCATGATTACCACACTGCTGGGTAAGATCACAAGCCCTGCTTGGCCAGGGAGGCAGAGACTTCGTCAGCCAACGTGGCGAGCTGAGGTGAGTCCACCATATCGATGCTTCCTGTAGAAGAGACATTGCTGAGGTGTCGGGGGGAGGTGTCCCCAGACATGGTGGGTGACTTGTAGACAATTTCTGCTCCGTGGTCAGTCTTGGCTTTGGCGTTCTCACGGAAGGTTAGCTTGTGGGACTCAATCTAGAAGGAGAAAAGGGTGGAAGATCAGAGAACCTGGGGCTGGAGAGGAACCCATTCCTCACTGGACAGAGGGAGAAACTGAGGCCCAGAGGGGGTGAAGTGACCCTGCCCAACATCACCCAGGTGGAAAGTACAAGAGCAGGACTAAAACCACATCCTCTGACTCCAAATTCAGTGCAATTTTTTTTAAACTTTTAGGCAGCTGGGGTTAAGTGACTTGCCCAAGGTCACACAGCTAGTAAGTGTCAAGTGTCTGAGGACGGATTTGACTCCAAGGCCAAAGCTCTATCCACTGCGCCGCCTAGCTGCCACTCACTGCAATTTTTAATGAGCCATGATGACTTTCAAGATTTGAGTACTGAGGCAAAGTGGGTAAACAACCTTGCTTCAGGAGCTGTGGGCCTGCGATACAAGGAGGAGAGAAATCAAATGGAAAATTCAAAAGGAGAGGCCATGAGCCTATGTGGCACTGGATGTGAAGTCAGGAAGACCTGAATTCAAATTTTATCTCAGACACTCACTAGCTGTGTGACCTTGGGCAAATCACTTAAAATCTTTCTGCCCATCTGTAAAATGGGTATAAAATAGCACTACCTCCCAAGGTAGCAGTGAGGATAAAAGGATATATGGATATATATATATATATGTATGTATGTATGTATGTATGTATGTATGTATGTATGTATGTATGTAAAGTTATTTCCAAACATTAAAGTTCTACATAAATTCCAGCTAGTAGTAGTAGTAGTAGTAGTAGTAGTAGTAGTAGTAGTAGTAGTAGTAGTAGTAGAGAAGAAGAAAAAGGAGAAAGAGGAGGAGGAGGAGGTGGAGGAGAAGAGAAGTAGAAAGCGTAGAAGAAGAGGAGGAGAAAAACTTTTATGTCACTGCTTTCCAACCACTTACTGATGTGGGCCACGACCTATGAGAAAGCACACTGGCCTAGGATTTGGATTCCAACCTTGGCTCTACTGTTGAATTGCTGAGACCTCAGGCCAGACACTCCTCTCAGGTCTTCAGATAACAAGGGGCTGGTCTCAGTGATCCCTCCTCAAATCCCCTTCTATTTCTTATATGCTTTGGCCCTTTGATTTTAGGCTATTTCAGTACTCTAGGGGTGCTACAATACTTGGCCAGTTGACAGAGTTGAAGGTAGTCATAATAAAGAGAAGAAAACGGGGTGGGGTCTATGTGTGATTGGGTATGGACAGGTACATGGCTAGATCAGTAGAGAATGGGGAACAGATTAGAGCCTTGATGTCCCAGCAAATTCACAATGCTAGGAAGCAATAGCATATGGAAGGAAGGAAGGAGGGAAGACAGGAAGGGAGGGAGGAAGGGAAGGAAAGAAAGAAAGGAGGAAGGGGTTTATTAAGCACCTACTATGTGCCATGGCATGACTTTTAAGAGACTTAGTCTGAGTGTTTTTCTTCCTGGAGCTATTGGAAATAAGCCCACCTAATCAAGCCTCGTTAATTCTGACTTATTTGTGAGTGTGTTGTTGGGGGGGAGGAGGGGGAGCCTAAATTTGGGAAAGGCTTAGAACTGTTTAGAAAAATGGTTTTAAGACTTCTAGGTCCATGTATGACCTAGGTCACATTGTTTGCCTTCTCAACGTGGGGGCAAGGGAGGTAGAGAATTTGGAACTCAAAATTTTAGAACGTTAGAATTTTTACATGTAATTAGAAATATATACAGACATACACACAAAATATACATACATACACACCCACCCACATATATATATAGACAGACAGACAACACACACACACACACACACACACACACACACACACACACACACACACACACTTCCAGGTCCAAATAGCCACTCTGGCAAAAGTAGATGCCAGTTGACCAGTTTTAACTTAGTGACCCAATTCAATTCTCCAGGCATTTAAGTTCCTACTATGTCCAGGCCCACAGGTACAGGAAAGACAAAGGCTTAAATATGAAAAAAAAAATCCCTTCTTTTGCAGAGCTTACATTCTATTGGAAGGAGGAGGAGGAAGAGAGGAAAACAAAATACATACAGGAATTTAGGTGATGTAGTGCTAGGAGCACTGGAACTGAAGTCAGGAAGAGCTGAGTTCAAATTCCACCTTAGATACCAGCCATGTTACCCTGGCAAGTCACTCAAACCTTTCTCAGGTATCTGAGGTATCTCAGAGCTGTTGTGAGGATCAAATAAGATAAACACATATAAAGTGCCTTGCAAACCTTAGAATTCTATAGGACAGCTGGGTGGTGCAGTGGATAGAGTGACAGGCCTGGAAGCAGGAAGACCCATCTCCCTGAGTTCAATCAAATCTGTCCTCAGACACTTAACCCTGTTTGCCTCAGTTTCCTCATCTGTAAAACAAGCTGAAGAAGGAAATGGCAAACAATGCCAGTGTCTTTGCCAAGAAAATTGCAAATGGGGTCACAAAGAGTTGGACACGATAGAAACAGCTGAACAAAAATAAAACTGCCAAATGTAAAAGAAGTTTTGAAAATCACTTGTCTTTTTTTCAGTACGTGAAACATGTCCTCTGCCATCTGACTGACACTTGATTGATTTAGCAGGCTAATTTAGGCAAGTGACAGCACTGGTTGATTTATTACAAATTCTGAATGAGTACAGTCAAATTCCCCCCCCCCCCATTTATTCATCTATTTGTTTGTTTATTTATTTATTTATTGCTTTTCTTTTTCAGTCAGATTTTTTTAACTGCCTAAGGGGAATGCTGTGAAGGGATCCCCCCCCCAATTCTGTTTTATTGATAATAACAGCTCACATTTCTATATCACTTGATAGTTTGCGTAGCCCCCTTCGCGGTCTTGAAAACACCGCTGGCAGAGCATATGCCCTCCTGGTACTTTCCACCATGATGGAAAGGCTTCAGTTTCTAAAGACCAGCACACCTAAGCTGAGAGAGGCTCATCACCCAGCAGTACAAGCATCACTTAATGGTGATGAACACTTAAAACCTGTTAAACAAAGAAAAACTTTAAATGGTTCCTCCATCTGTAGTGATGGCACAGTGAAAAATGAGGGATTGGACAATGCTAAAAACAATTTTCAGGCCATCTATAAACATTCATTTAGTGGCTGACACTCTAAATGTGAGGCCCTTGTTCAATGACCAACAAGTTGACATTCTATTAGAGGAACGGAATCATCTTACTCTTGGCATTTTCACTATAAATGAAGACAAGAAACATAAAGAAGATGCAGCGGGATGGGAAAATGGCTGATAGATTCTTTTTGGAGAGGCAAACAAAGGAGCTGGTAGAATTGGCTGCATCCTGAGCCCAAAGGTAACAGAAAATATCGTTTCATGGTGCTTATGGTGAGTAGGAGCAAGAAGACAAGCAGGAAAGAAATTGCAGGTTCTCTGCATTTGTTGCAGAGGATAAGAAACTAGAAAAACTCTAGGAAGGACTTTGGGAGCTTTCAAACTGAGTCAACATAGGCCTTAACACTCAGATGATGGCTTCAAAGCAAAAGTAGGCATTGGGGAAAACTGAAAAGCATTGTAAAACACAGTTGAGGAATGAAAGAGAGTAAACGCTTGTGTATTACACAGAAGTCTCATGCCCATAAAAAACTTTAAGATGAGTCAAAAGATGAAAGCCAACAATGAGCAATAGCTAGAAAACTGAAATTGACCATATCTTAACCGACAGGAAATGACTGTTTACCAATATGGGAGTTGCTTTTGAATCAGCTGTCAGACCACTGTTAAACCACAGGTCAAAATGAACCCCAAAGTAGAGGACAGAATGAAGATGAGAAGACCCGGTGTGCAATTACAATTCTGCCCTATCCCATTCAAGCTGTTGGGGCTGACAAGGTGGGAAGTGGGACGTGGAAGAGACACCGACATGGACTTTTACCATTTGTTTCCTGCTGAATTTTAGCTAATGTAAAGCAATCACCACAATGAGGGGGAGGCAAAGAGGTATGGTATCATCTCAACCAGCAAACATTTGACTTTGATATCGAGACATATGTTAGCCCAAGGAAACATCAGTCTAGAACAGAAATTCATTTTCTTTTTTTTTTTTTTTCTCTCCAGGCAACTGGGATTAAGTGACTTGCCTAAGGTCACACAGCTAGTAAGTGTCAAGTGTTTGGTCTGAGGCCAGATTTGAACTCAGGTCCTCTTGACTTCAGGGTCAGTGCTCTATCCACTGCACCACCGAGCTGCCCTAGAAATTCATTTTCAAAACTTGATGCTTATTTTTTCTCCTACCACAGATTTATGAGGCAACAAGTTAGAGAAAGCACCTAAGGGCAGCTTGGTGACGCAGTGGATAGAGCGCCAGGCCTGTGGTCAGGAAGACCTGAGTTCAAACCTGGCCTCAGACACTTACTAGCTGAGTGACCCTGGGCAAGCCACTTAACCCTGTTTGACTCAGTTTCTTCTTTGGTAAAGTGACTACTCCAGTATCTTTGCCAAAAAAAACCCCCAAATGGGGTCATGAAATGTCAGACATGATGGAACAGCAACAGGAACCTCCCAGGTTAGCACACTCCCTATCAACACAAGGTCAGTGTTTTTTTGCTGAAACTTAAGTCTTAAAGAGTTGCTTAGAGCACTGTGAGGTTAAACTACTTGCCCAGAGTGACATGGCCAATATGTCACAGGCAACATTTGAACCCAGGTTTTCCCAGCTTCAATACCAGCTCTCTAGCCACTATACCATTCGGCCTCTCCACCGTGAGGCAATACCGCTGATAATCACCCAAAAGTCATCCCCAGTGTATTAAACGGGAAGTGAAAACTGCACTTAAAAAAAAGCGGAAGACAGGAAGAGCAGCCAGACCAGGCCAAGTATAGAGGAAATCCTTTCCTCCTGATGAAACATGGTCTTGAAGGTTGAGAGACTGATTCTTCAGATTTTGGAAAAACCTACCTTTAGCCATCTAAAAAATGCTCCAGATCACTAATAACTAGGGAAATGAAAATTCAAGCGACTCTGAGGTTCTGCCTCACCCATCCATCAGATTGGCAAAG